GAAGAAACTAGCAGGGAAATACAGTAAACCAGAGAGGCCGGTCAAAGACAAAGAAGGCAAGCCAATCACCGAAATTCAACAACAGCGTAACAGATGGGTAGAATACTTCGAGGAACTCCTGAATAGGCCGGCTCCAATGAATCCACCGGACATCGAAGCAGCACACATAGATTTTCCTATAGATGTCAACCCACCAACTACGGAAGAAATTAGAATAGCCGTCAGACAAATCAAGAACGGGAAAGCAACATGACCCAACAACATGCCAGCCGAAGCACTGAAATCAGACATCGAAGCAACCACAAGCATGCTTTATCTTCTATTCAAAAAGATTTGGAAGGAGGAACAAGTGTCGATGGACTGGAAAGAAGGACACCTCGTCAAGATTGCACAGAAAGGAGATTTGAGCAAATGGGAAAACTACAGACGCATTACACTACTGTCAATACCAGGGAAAGTCTTCAACAGCGTGTTGCTGAACCGGATGAAGGATGCAGTAGACGCCCAACTTCGAGATCAACAAGCTGGATTCCGTAAGGATCTGTCGTGCACAGACCAAATTGCAACACTACGTATCATCGTCGAACAATCAGTTGAGTGGAACTCGTCACTGTTCATCAACTTCATTGATTATGAAAAGGCATTCGACGGTGTAGATAGGAGGACATTATGGAAACTTCTTTGACACTACGGAGTTCCTGAGAAGATTGTCAATATTATCCGGAACACATACGGCGGACTGCAATACAAAGTTGTGCATGAAGGACAGCTGAAAGATGCATTCCAAGTAAGGACCGAAGTCAGACAAGGCTATTTACTCTCTCCCTTCCTCTTTCTTCTGGTGGTCGACTGGATTATGAAGACCTCGACATCTGAAGGAAAACACGGAATACAATGGACTGCTCAGAATCAATTAGACGATTTGGACTTCGCAGATGACCTAGCCGTCCTATCGCATACACACGAACAGATGCAGACAAAGACAGCCAGTGTAGCAGCAGTCTCTGCATCAGTAGGCCTCAGCATACACAAAGGGAAAACCAAGGTCCTCAAATTCAAAGCGGAGAACAGCAATCCAATCACTCTTGATGGCGAAACTCTGGAAGATGTAGAGTCCTTCACATACCTGTGAAGCATCACCGATGAACAAGGAGGATCAGGTGCAGACGTAAAGACGAGGATTGGCAAAGCAATGGCCGCATTCCTACAATTGAGGAACATGTGGAACTCAAAACAACTTTCAACCAATATCCAAGTCACAATCTTCAACACGAGCGTCAAGGCAGTTCTACTGTGCGGAGCTGAAACTTGGAGAACTACAACAACTACAATCAAGAAGGTACAAGTAATTATAAATAGCTGTCTTCGCAAGATACTCAACATCCATTGGCCGGATACCACTGTAGTGTCAGTTATCATGCCAAGCCCATATACCTTATTCTAGCTTCCGGACATCCCATTTTATTCATTCTACTCGAGCCATACTTTGACCTTGTTATTCATTCGCTTATCAATCTAGACTGTTTTTATATGAGCGTATATGTGAGTGCTCTTCTTATTCTATTAATCACATGTCTGTAGCTTTATTTTGTCTGACTATAAATATTGAGTAACGCTTGACAAAGATGGAGTTGGCTTCCCAGCCATCTTTCATACAATCTGAAACGGAGTCGAGAACCACGGGCCACTAAACCATCAGCAACAGCCTTTTGTGGGAGAGAACAAACCAGCTTCCAGCTGACGAAGAAATTAAGAAAAAACGATGAAAATGGATAGGACATACATCACGCAAATCATCAAACTGTATCACTAGGCAAGCTGTAACTTGGAATCCTGAAGGGAAGCGGAAAAGAGGAAGGCCAAAGAACACATTACGTCGGATAATAGAAGCAGATATGAAAAGGATGAATTACAACTGTAAGGAGCTGGAAAGGATTGCCCAGGACAGGGTTGGATGGAGAATGCTGGTGAGCGGCCTATGCTCCTTCACGAGGAGTAACAGGCATAAGTAACTAAAGTAAGCAGTCACAGTAGAGCGTGGGATTACCTGTTCAGACAAACAAAGCCTCTCAACATTCAATATAAGGTAATAGGGAATATAATGCCTATGCAAAATAAGGAGGTGAATGAATACTTGAACTCTACTGTTTTGATATATGCTTAGTTGTTTGAGGTAAACACTTAACCAATCAACCTATGCTGTTACAAAACCATAGTAAAATGTTACTTCCACAGTGATGCAACGGATACTATTCTTCTTAACAGTGTGTATCTGAATTTACAAATAATTCCGTGGCCATTCATTGACGTTTGGCATAGGGACCGCGAGGTGTAGTATATATGTCAGTGCGTGGCCGCTGCTATTGTGTTGAGAACAGTTTGGCGCGGACGTGGGTATTCAGTCAGCTGGGGCTGTGCTCAGAGACTGCGTAGTTTTCTGTAGCTATAACGCACGGGAGGTGGGAGGCCGAGCGAGCACGTGGAATATTGATTCGGTGTGGAGATATGTGATGTTTGAGATTGATGGTATGAGAGGATATGGGTGAGGTCCGAGTGTTGTTGCAATAACGTGGTAAAGATTGTGCTAAGTAGAGGAGGATCAAAGCGGAACTAACAGTCACAGTTGAAGCCGATGAGGGTCAGGAAATCTAGTAATTCGTCGAAGCTTTCTTCAATACGGTTGTATAAATTTCAGATTGTTGCATCCTTTAGCCTTAAACTAACGCTTCTCACGGTAAATTCTTAGAGTAGTATTGGAGAGATGAGATCGACGTTTATATGATAAGGTATCAACATAACGTTACGGAATGATATTATTGTTTTCGGTTATAGGTGGGTAAGATTTCCATTGCAAGTAAGATTGCTACAGAGTAGTTCTTATGTTGATGTGACCGGAGACTGTGTGGAGCGATGAGAGAGCGAGCGTGATGTAGAGCGAGCGAAGGAGTCGGCGAGCGCGGGCACAAGCGAGTATTCAGGTAAGGTGTCGGGATGTTTTGAAGAAGATGTCACAGAATGGAGTATTTTAGTAAGTATGATGTAGCTCGTGATAAGATGGTTGGCTGTTCGTAGTGCGTGCGAGTGAGTAGGTGATACGATTGTCTGTGTATAATCGTGGAGAGGTGTGATGCCGGGTTGATCGCGAGAAAGAAGCACAGTCGTATCGCGGAGTGTAGGGATACAGAAAGCAATGACTGGAGCTTGGTGAGCGATTAGATAGTGTAGAGCCGTGTGGACTGAGACTAGGAAGGCCGTGAGGAGTTTGTTTTGCGTCTATCACCGGATAGCAGTAACAGAGGGTACAGGTTTGAATTTATTGCGATGCGACATTGATAGGGTGTAATGAGGATTTTTCGAAGATTAAGTTGGATAGAGAGTGCGGTCGAGTGACAAGTTTTCAAAATCGTTATCGAGATGCAATCTAGTATAACCTTATGCAACGGTTGTAGTAAAGAGTACAGTGTGAAATTGAGGAGCATCTATTAATAGGAGATGTTAGTAGTATTTAGAGCAGCGGATGACTTAGAGTGTTTTTTACACAGTAAGTTGAATGATATGCTGTTAGCAAAGGGTAGATATTTGCACAAGGGAGCTTAAATTTAATTAATTTGTTTATTAGGTAATGTAGTTTGAAAGCTTTTATGATGACGAACTAACAAATATAAGAGTATAATAAGATTGTTTGGTCTAAGTGTTTACATATGTGGTACTTTTGGACAATTGTAGTATATGTGTGTAAAATAAGGTTATACTGGAAATCAATTGTCGGTGTTGCATGATTGGTAAATGATTTAGAAGAGTGTAATTAAGTTTTTAATAAGGATGTTGAATATGGTAGCAACATGGGGTTTAGGGTAGGAAAAATAATTAATATAGTTTAATTTGGGGAGAATATATTTTTGTTTGTAGGATAAGTTTTTTTCTGTATGTGATGTGGTTATAAATTTAAAAAGAGTTTAGATAGTAGATTAGGAGGATTTCTATATTAGCTGTAATTAAAAAATAATAATTGGGTTTTTATAATGTATATTAGACTTGTTTCCTAATGATCAATATTAGTGTATTTATTCGAATATTCATAGTTGGTTCTAAGATAATTAGGTTGATGTGGTAATCAATAAAAAGTGTGTTACAACCTCCTTAGTAAAGTTAAAATGGGGTATTTAGTAGTTGGATCAATGACAAGAAGGTGCTTTTCCACCAGCTTCCACGTACGAGTGCTTATACTATTACCGTTGTTTAAGCACAAAACCAAGCGCCTCAATAACGGTAATAGTTTGCCATTTCTTTTTAATGTAACACTGAATTTGGCTGATCATAGATCATGCAGAATTATAAGTGTTTAGTTTATGACCCTGACGATGACATGTACCAGATATTGTGATGCTCCAACAGTCAGACATAATAATTGTATTTATATATTCATAGCATTAGACTACTACTTCTTCTGTCATCTCATTTAACGTCACGATATTAAGGGATATTAAAAAATCATACATTATAAACAATGCACTTTAAAATGAAAGAAATTATTCTAGTTTCGATCAGATTAAATGATGAAAGTTTCCTGAAACTGTGATAAAACAAATGAAACCTCTAGGCCGTGCGTAAAAAATTAGATAAAGATTTCCATGTCAAATTATTTTGGAATGTTAAGTACTTCAACCCAATATCTAAAGAAGTACTCTTTCCGAAAGACTGCCCAAAACGCTTGCCAATTTTAGTAACAATGCTGCGGAAATACTACGGAGATCTAAGATACTCAGTGACTTATTTTTATTCTTATCTGTCATGCATAAAAATATGATAAACGCAAACACCCTCTATATTTTTAATGTGTCATTACTAAGTGGTGGTTTGAAAAACTTTTGTCTTGGATTCATTTGTGGTAGTTAGCATGAAACATTAATTAATACTATGTAAAATTATTCATTGTAACCGCCAACTAACAGGCAATATCGATTTCCAAAGTAATGTACAGTTTTTTGCATTGTTAGGGCATGGTTGCTTTAGAGTGTAGGTCTAGACAAAAGTGCCTTTTAGAAGAAAAATCTGTTACTTTATTATACACTGGTTAGTTAATGTATAGTACCTAGCATAACCTTTTAGGTTAAACAGTGAGAAGTTTATGGTTAGTTTTTCTCGCATTATATTCAGTTTAATATTTGCTTACATCCTATATGAATACTGTTTCAATCTGATATGAAGTAGCATAACCGCCAAATTGTTTTTCAGAATAATTTTAACTTTGCCAGTTTTTCTAGTCATAAGCTTCGGTTGTTATGTTAGTGCATTATTTCACGATCACATATGTTGATTTTAAAGTTGTACAAACGTGGGAATTTTTATCTTTCTTTTTTAATTTTAGAAGACATCTTTAGCAGATGTATTTAGAGCAAATAATAGTGTTGACAGCAACATATGGTATGGAAACCATAAAAAATGTACAGAATGTGTCTAAATATCTACAAACGAGGCAGCTTTTGAAAACTAGTAAATCTTTGTGTGCGCACGAGGGTAGTAACAGCCAGTGATGAATGAGATGAGGTTCAGAGTAGTTAATGTTACATGAACGCAAAATAGCACTCCATACTATGATGGTACACGATACTCGCTATCAACAGTCGCGTGTAAATAATTAGAGCAAGCCTGCAGCAGGTGTGATGAATAACATGGCTGGCAATACTAACAATATGATGAAATATCGAAGTTAATCAAAAAGCTGTTTACATGTTTTTAGTTTAGTAATTTAAGTCAAACGATATAATTACCCAATGCAAAAGAAATCATCATAGTAGCCTTCTGAAGGGAAACTTGCAATAAAAAAATGAATTAGATTGCAAATACAATTATTTTGTAAAAGCTTGGTTCACTGATAAGATTGTACTTTCTTCAAAACATTCTTCACTATACAGTAAAAATAACCCAATTTAATATTGTGCTCTGGTAAAAGATTCTCTATGGGAAATGCTTTAAAGGCTCTCTTTTTAATTATTTAAATCTCAGAACAGGAGAAACCAAACATTTTTAAAAATATTTTTAGGAATTATTAACAGTTGTATACCCTGGAACTCAAAATGATTGACAAGTAGAAAAGTTTTAGAGATCTGTGCTTCTTTGCAAGGACGTGGACTCTAGTTTACAGACATGTTATTTTAACAGAAAAGGAGAAATTATAAATCATATGATTTATATTTGATAAAATAACTTTTGCTAATTATTCACAAGGTTTAAGATTGTTACTTTTACCTATTTTTGTAACATATTCAATATATATACACTATTAGCGCTACTAGCAGTTTCAAAGACGCTAAATAACCTAGTGTTTCCCTTTTTCAAAAGTTCAGGAAAGAATAACGAAAAAAATATAGGAAAGAAGATGGCTCACAAGAATTTGAGAACATGTCAAGTCTTCTTACAGCATATTGAAAAAAAAACGTTCCTTAATATTAACAAAATATAACATAACTAGGCAATATTGAGATAGAAATATATATCAAGATGGGTATTATTCGATACAGCTTTTTAGTAATATTGTCAGCAGTGTGCATCTCATAAAATGTTGATGTTGTGATGGGATCCGTTCTGCTTCTTAAGCTAAAAGTGGTGGTTTAAAGATTAAAATCATCGAGTGTAAGATCATTTAACGTACGCTAGAAGCTCAATAATTTCAACCCAGCCAGAAGAGATAAACGATGTTTCATGAACCAGTAATATCTAAATAATTGAGGGAAGTAACATTAGTAGAAGAAAATGTGATTTTTAAGAGAATAAAGTAAGGATACGACAAACTCTTTAGCCATAATAACCCTGGTACGTAAGTGACAGAACATCTTTCTATATATAAGATTAGCCATGCATTTTCAAAGTATTAAAACTCCGTCATATCGTTATTTGATCTTGGTGTTCCAGCTGACTTAAGTTTTAGTAGCATAGGTCTAGAAACAAAATCGAACTTTACATTTAGCTTAGAAATCGGCATTTACTATATCTTTCATCTTTTTCTTAACTGTCACAACCTACTTTGATGTAACATAACTGCAAAATTCTTATTACTCGTTTAGAAGTTTAACCAGATCGATTTGAATCATTATAATTCCCCACTGAGATCTAAGTATGAATGATTGTAGTTTTTTAATGACTTCAATAATTTTTTACGGGTCAAAATTCACCATCGTTTCATCAGACACTCATTTCAATAATGGAGCAACTTTGGTTCTCTTTTATATACATGATAAAAGATCTATTGAAAAAGATTGTTGGGCGATTTTCTTCATTGGTTAACGTGGAATATCAGAACACTTATTAAAATGAGTATTTAAAACATGGTCGATTTTTAAACATTGTGATGAGTATAGTGATATTAAACATATAAAACCACCATTTTTAGTAAATCTTAAGTCATGTTGTTTCGTTTCCCTAGACGGTGAAAAATACATTAACATAGGGGTATTGACTTGCACAAGACGTGCTTAAACAAATAGGCTTCAGAATGCATGTAAACACCAGTCTACCTTATTACTGTAAGTCACTTGAATAATCTGCACATATTTAATGAATTGATACAGGATAAAGTTTTCCTAAGTCTGCTATGTTGTTTCATAAATCATTTGTAAGCAAACTGCATTGTATGGTTGGAAAAATATTTTTCAAACTGGAAGTCTTGCATTTTAATTAGTTCACAAATATTACTTTCTTCATTAGATAAAACAATTAAACGTGTCTAAGCTTACCATATTAATTAGATAGGATTCAAATAAGCAGCGAAATAGTCGAAACTAAACGCTGAACTATGTCCAAACCATCTGGAATGCAGAAACGTATAAAAGGAGGTTTAAGAACATTCATTTAAAATAATCAATAAAAGTAAGACACAAAATGTGTTTGTGTCTTTAAGCTGGTTTCAGCATGGACGAGGTATCCTTTATGAATTAAAGAGACAAGTAAAATTTGTTTCAAGCAAGGACAGACTTAATTACAGTATCAGGGCAATCCGCACAAGATTCATATACGCCGAAAAAGACTGATCAGTTGCAATCCTGAAAATATAAAAAAAGATTCATACAGTTAACATATATGAAGTAAAATATGTGTTAGCAGTTACCACTCTCTCTATAAAACATTAAACAATACCTCGGCCTACGGCCTAAAAGTTTTTCATTGTTCCCATCAATTGGTGATTATTCATATGAATTTTCAAAATAAAAGGAATAATGAAGTGTCTTAAAGTGGTTCCATTGAAACTAACTTCGTTCACGATGTCAAGCATATTTCTTTTTGAAGCTAATAATTTCATAATGTGCTTTTATTTTTCTCACTAAAAGCCAGATATGCGTGTTTACTATGTGATTTTTAAAGCCAGATGCACGGTACAATGATATTGGATTTTTAGTTTAAGGAGTTTGACGTTGGAGAATTATTCTTGTAGTTGTTAAGCTAGGCTTTTAAATAAACTAATGTACAAATTGCTTTATAACTTTAGAGAAGTACCGGTGTATTTCTGTGTAAAGTTCACTTAAGATTAGCAATATTATCTTTCATTACTCTCGTAATGAACGTTTTAGATGATTTTAGAAAACCTTTTGTTGAAACATCTGGTTAAATCTCACAAAAGCTTTAAATGCTGAGGATTCATAATGGCTCAAAAAGATATAATTGGGAATGGCATTATTTTTTCTCTTTACCAACTCTTGGCAGTTTCTCACAATGAATAAAGGGCATTTTAAAAAACTCGCGTTATTATTTGAACTGAAAAGAAAACCATATATCCTCTAGTCTATTTTCTTTCAGTTTCGATGTTCATGTTTATGACGATAGATTTTTATAGCTTAGAAATCAGTTTGTACATCCTACGTTTACGTATTAAACTGTTAGCATTTCCAAATGAAACCCATATAGCTATCAAGAATGGCCAGATCTCCTAGCACACCATTTAAAATATAAAAAAAATCAAACTTCAACCTATTTGAAGCCGATTTATGTGAAGGAAGCTCAATCTAACATTGTGTCTGAATATATCAATAATTTCACGTAATAACTAAAGGATAACTAGTTCAAATTTCATTTCATTTCTTGGCATCGTTTTTCTTTTGTCTAGGAATAGAACTTGCTGCAAGACCAAACTCTTTTAATACGTTTATCCATGTTGCAACTTTCCAATCCACAATCAACCAACCGTATATTAATAAAGTGAATGAACTGTTTAGTAAATATGGCTCGAAAGGTGTAAATGAAGAGTGCAGCGGACCTGGTTTGCATCCACAGAATCCAGATGTCCCCTGCAGCTTTGATCTCAGTGTTTTGGGTGAATGTCAGTCAACTGAGAAAACTATATTGGAGGGAAAACTATGTCTTTATTTGAAAATAAATCGAGTATGTTTAGATGTCCACGTTTTTCACAAATATATCAGATGTATTTATGAAATTTCATATTAAAGTTACACATTCTTACCCATAAATGGCATGATGTGTGATTTATCTGTCGTTGGTATTCATAAATTTTAAGCTGTTTTTAGTCAAAAAAAGAAAGTATGAGTTGTTTTGATTAGTCAGATATACCTAGTTTACTTTACCTTTATATGAATAACCGATATATTCTACTTTCATTTTCTTCATTACAAAAGATTCATTAAGATTGAGGAACTAATCTTTAACCAAGCACCTTTAAATCATAATCAACAATCTCTCTGTATATTAGGTAAACCAATTTAACATGTTTTTCAGTCACACTCTACTAAGCAAATATGTCTTTGTATAACTCTGTGTATACTTTAGGTCTACGGTTGGTTACCTGATTTGGAAGATCCTAAATCGATTCCATCACCTGCTATCGAATGTGGAGGTACAGTAAGTGATACTAACTTTTTCTACACCCTTCCTTAATATATCATATCAACTAGGGGAATACTAAAATGTTCTAGTAATAATATAACCATACTACATGTCAAGTTGTTGGAATAAGAATATTTTATACGGAATTCTTATGGTCATATTTATATTAATAATAGATTACTATAACTTCTAAGCAAAGTTCTGGGTACTGATGGTTATATATATATATATATATATGTATATATATATATATATATATATATATATATATATATATATATATATATATATATATATAGCAATAATTGTATTAAGTACTCTTCATTACAATGGACATTCTAATACTGCTACTTATAAAATATCATCCTCCAAAAATATCTGATGCTTAAATTAGCTTAAATCAGGTCACAGTTAACATGCTAAATAAGTCTATGAATAACTGACTGTAAAGATTATTAAATATATGATGAATATAAAGAAGTGAACAATTTTTTACAGTTTGTGATCCACCTTATTCAAAATTCATTATCTCTTCTCAATACTACTACTACTACTACTACTAATAATAATAATAATAATAGTAATAATAATAATAATAATAATAATAATAGTAATGGTAATAGATGAAGGCAGACCATTTATGAAATTCTCCTATGAGTTATTAAAAAGAACAAATTATGGATCTTTAGAATGCAACAAGTCTACTGACATTAGGCAGGGTACCCAATAATCCGTGACCATTTTCAAGAATTTCACTTTCATTATATCAGAGCCTGAGAGTGAAACGTAAAAAGACTTATCACTAGACACCTGGTATTGATACCAATCATGTGTCCAGTATCAGCATCAGTGATGGTTGCAGGAAGGAGTACTTGGATTTGTTAATGTTAATAATTTGGCTCACTTCGAATCGATTTGGCAAATAGAATAAAACAGACTAAATATATTATGCCTCAGTACTTCGAACAGATTGTAATTTTTAACCTGGTTGCTTTGATTAGTGTATCTTTAACGAAATAAGGCTTCTTTATTATTTGAAAATAATTACGGGATTTTGTTTATGATCTCATTTGATTTTAAGTTAAAGTATGATATTTTTATGCTCTTACAGTGTTGTGATGTTACCTGCAGATGATTTGTGCTGTATAACAAGCCAAATATATCCGTGTAATGTTATTCACTAACTGAGATCCCATCAGGATTACCTGTCATTTTAATATTTATAGCTTGTGATTTTTACGTTATGCCCAAAAAGAAATTTATTCCCAGAAGACAATTGTAATCTATTACTAATTATATGTTTATGAAACTTAAAATTTCAAAGATTATAAAAGTTTTAGAGCTGATTTCTTTTATCACATAGATAACTTCTCATGAAAAGTATTTACTTAAAATTTCACATAACAGATTGAATTTGATTAGAAAATAATTGAAAACCAGGAAATATGAACACAGTTATTTCATCCCACAATATGATGTTTCTGAACTAGATATTGACGACCCCACCAAGGATGATCCACAAAACCTTTAAGCATTACGGTGAGCGCTTTACCTTCAGACCACAGAGTTCCCATATTATGGTTTACGTTTCTGAATTCAGTTGATTCGGGATATTACATAATCACCATCCGCTCTCATTGGTGAAACTTGTTTCAGTTTGATCATGACGAAATCCCATTGGCCATGACTCTTCACCAGAAATCCGGGAATTATTTCTTGACGTTATTCACTGGGAAAAATACATGATTGCTTGATGCTAAGTCTGAAGGTCCTCAATTCGATCCCTTGTGAAATTTATGATTGTATACTGTTGTACAGTCTTATTATAAGAGAAATTAGATGTTCATTTCCTCCTGGTTTCCGATGGTGGTTTAACTGTAGTCAGTCTGTGATATGGAATTTAAAACTTTACAATCTTTACAACACCCAGTCAAAAAAGACAAGCTCGCTAAATGGACGTGTTCTTATTAATCACTAGTACAAAATTCAATTGACTAAATGGTTAATTCGACTTAAGCAAAAATTTTGAGTTTTTGAGCAAGTGTATTGAACGAGAACTTAGAACAAATCAAACTCAAAATAAGAAAACAATACAAGAATTACATTATTTGCACATCTTCCTTGAGTTGTCCTATATGAAATCCATTGTTCTTTCATTTCTGTTATTGTTTCGATGGTTTTCAGATCACTTCTCTTTTCTTTTTATTTTCTTCTTCTGTCCGTAAGAATCCTATCTTTAATTTCTTTTACATACTACTTATATCTGTCCATACAAATGGAACACAGGACATAAATGAAACAGTTTAAAGTCAATTAAAGTATGCTTAAATCATGTTAAACAATCGTTTTGACAGCATACATAGTGTTATGTTGTAAATGATAGAATAGATAAATGAAGAGGATAGTTTCTGATACTATTATTCACAGTGCATACTAATGTTGTTCAGTGTAAAACGCCTGATGTCCAAACAAGACATCATTGTCGTGACTTATTAACTGACAGATATTAGTCAAGCTGAAGGTATTTCAGAATCACAGAACTATATGCAATAAAAACAACGATATTTAGAGAGACGTTAATAAAACTGGCAAATAATTGGAAAACCGATGTATAAGTGAATTTTTGTAAATTTAATTTGACATAATGTTGAAAACAAAAATAATAAAACTTCCATCCAGAATAAAATTTCACTGGTTTTCATATTTTAAAGTCACAAAACCCATTGTACTGAATACAGAAGAAATCATTTTCCTACGTATAGAGTTTGTCATCATTCTAAGTGAAAAATTATTGAAAATATTTACCTACGAATCTACTTAAAAAACCAATACTGCTCACATCTTTCATAGTTTGTAGTGAAAAAGAATAAAACATTCTATACAAATATTATTATTCTTACAAGATTAGTATGGAGTTTAATTCAATAATCTAGGCACGAAATAGTCTGTTTCATCATCATAGAAAAGACATAACATCATTTCAGTGCAGCGACGTATTTGCAGAGTAAACCATTGTGAACTAGTTTCTCCTTCATCTATTCAAAGTTACCTTTACAGGGAAATCAAGTTATCAGTGATGAACCAGATGAAGGCACCCTTGGGGTATATGATTACTCAAATAAACGTTTGTGTTCACAGTTGTAAACTTTGATTGTTACTCTGTAATAGTGCCTCGTTGATATATATTGCTGAGTGTGTACATAGACAATCCATCGAGTATCCGTAACAGTCCATGAAATGTTTTGCTTAGTTGTGGGTAACCTAGAGAATAATCAGTCTGAATCGACATAAACGACTTGATTCATAGGAAATAAATTAATCTTATGGTTGAAAGCTAATCGTAGAGTTTTGAAAAAAACCAATCAGTCGTATAAATAGGATGTACGTACTAAGTATTATTACTTTTTCTTAATCACATGTCAGTAATTTCACCCAACAGTCAGCTTACTGACTAACGAAGGATATAAAAGTCTCAAAAAAATAAAAAGTCACCCTAGTTCCGTACGTTTTAGCGACACGACTAATAATATTTTTTAAAAAGGATAATATTTTTCAGTTTAGTCCCGTATTATGAAGAGTTTTTATTGATTTGCCAATGTTGCTGTTTTAGAATGAATTCGATAAAGAATCCCTTGGTATTGTAAGATACTTTCCAGAACACATAGCATCAAATGGGAAGAAGTAGTAAGTGTTTACGTATTATACATTTAAATCGTATACAATTGCTTTTAAAATTCAATCTTTCAAATCATAAGCGAAATTATCAACGTGTTTCTATAATTAATGAGACAATATAAGGAGAACATTTTAGTGCAGATTGGTATGTATGTTTTGACTAATGTTACTAATCCAATCGAAGAAAAATAATTAATGTGAATTATACTTGCATGTCGATAATATGGAATTATGTCGGAGATATGAACCACTGGGTGCCAACTCAGCGGTGTGAAGAATCGAGGGTTTTGGGTTTGATTTCTAATAGTGTCAGAGATGAATACTTTTGATGAGTCTTATGCTAGAATGAAACAACTGTTTAATGCTTTCTGTTTTTTAAGTTGTCTAGCACAGATTAATTCATGATCTTAGTATAATTCAACAATCTTACCAAGCTCCATACTACTTATTAAAACGTTTGTTTAAAAGATGCTTAAATTAACAGATAAATAACTTGTTAAACAAGTATATATTATTCAAAATAAACATAGAGACAGATGAATGCTGTAGTTTGAATTCACTCACGATTCATTAACTATGCGATATTACCTCTTCTTAAATACAAAGTCATGGATACAACTAAATATTTTTAGATTTATGCTTTACTGTTTGCCAATAGTTTTTATGATCACTTGTTTATTTCAAATTCATGAGAATCTGTGTTTGACAGGATATATAGTTGATTTTCTTAAGATTATCAAACAATGATATAGCCAGATTGTTTGATCTTAGTTTTTTAAAAAAAAGGTGATATTTGTGCATACTTCATTTCAATTGCTTACTATTATTTAACATATTAGTGATTAATTAGTTTTTTTCCTTTATATCTGTAAGATGAAAAATAACTCTCCTTTGATATGTATCAATTCGAAACCAATTTGTTTCATTTAACTAAAATTATGATCGATTTATTCTTAACTCTATTCCAATCTGAAATGTGAACTATTTTCAATGATTATCATCAGCAACTGATAAGCGATTGTTTCCAATTGGTTAATGAATTGATTTCTTTCTATTAATTAGTTTGTAATTGTTTTCGAAAATAAACTTTATTATTAAAGTTTTACAATTATTTCTTTTTTTCTTCTTAATTTCTTCTGTTATAGTGGTGTCATATCAAACAATTATTTTCCCTATTTAAGAATGAATAATTATCAAGCACCATTAGTTGCTGTACAACTCTCTAATATAACAAGAAATACTGTTGTCCTAGTTGAATGTCGTTTGGTTGGTTTAAAAAATTCTATCGGTGGAACAGGTTTCGAAGTTTGTGTTGATGACAAAGATTCAGGAAAATAATTTATTCTTTAATCTTTTGCAAAACATAACATTTAAAAAAATCTGTTTTTACTATTAAAGAAAAGAAAATAATTATATCGTTTATGTGTGTTCAATTTATGTGTTCCTTGATATTTTTTTATCTTAAGAAAACATAAATACATCTAATTTAGCCTCTTTAGGATATTCTTCAGTTTACTTCTTATGTCAGAAAAAATGTACTGTCTTTTGGTTCCTTCTAACTCTTCCCATTTACAATTAAGCCAGTCATTCATAGTACGCATTATTCATATTAATTATACTATACTGTATTATCAAACATTGTTTAATTTATACTATTACAATTGTTACCATTACAACCATTAATACTGTTACTTCTAGTTGAGACCTTTAATTGACTTTTCTTATGGTTAATTAATTCTTCAAAAATTAAGTTTCAGGTACCTTACGTTTTAATTATTTTCTGACTGAAACATTCTTCAAGTTTTCTTCCTTATCTATGTCTTTTTACTTTTTTTAATATTTTCTCAACAACAATAGAAGGTAACAATAAAAAAAGATTATGATGACAAGGAAGAAGATTCTTATTCAATAGTTTATGTATTCATTTTATAATTTGAACCTATTTAGTGTCCTTATTATCAGTTTCATTATTGTTATTAGATTTAATATATTTCTATAACACGTAATACATGTTATACAACTACTGAAAACTTTCGCTAATTAAGTATATAATGGATTATTGGTAGATGTAGCCAAAATGTATTTACAGTAAAACAAATATATATTTAATAGTATATTAATATTGTAACCAATACTATTGCTACCGCTATTTTTATTAGTACTATCATTACTACTAATAATACTAATACTACTACCTATACTTTTACTATTCATATTAATAATATACGATTCTTAACGTTTTGTTTACGAATATAATTCAATTGAAAATATCTTAAAAATTAAGTTAGTTTTATTCATATAAGTAAAATAGTGTTTGTGTGCATGACTACAATTTTGGAATAAAATTAGGATTTTCAAATTGTGTCATTTGACTACTTGTCTTAATTTTAAGTGAAAGTTTTAAGTAATGCGAATACATTTTCGTCATCTTATCAAATATTTATAAATAAATTTTAGAAAAAAACAGATTTACTATGTTTAACATATTTGATAGTACAGTCCATAGTTGAAAAAAGGAGATTTTTTTTATTAAACAACCGTCTGGTAATAAAATCCAGTAGGTTGTTGTTTCACATTTATTTAATCCAAATCTTTATATGTTTAGATTATTACTTATTTAACATAGATAATCGATAAACTTTATTAACATTAACATATACCGTCATATTCTATGAAATGTTTTCGATCTATCTTAAGTTAATGAAATAGATTATTGATTGATTACATATTGAATGATTCAGCTGAATAGTATCAACTACTACTGTTACTACTAATACAAAATCAACTACTGCCATGAACAATTGTAATGACCATTTCAAAAATTATATGAGGTACATTCTCAACAACAACTATCTCTAATCCTATGCGTTTTAGCTACGGTATTGACAACTGTATAGTTGGATTTAAGTATTGTTCAAAACCTTATGTTTCACTTTACACTTATTTTCAGATTTAAAGTATGATTTTGGTGGCTAAGATCGTGAAAAATAGGTTATTATTATTTAAGGTTATTTTATGTTAGTTCCATTTGAGATGAATGAACATTAGGATTTAAAAGTAACTCGAAATCGGATTATTTACAAATCCCATAATTTATGAGTCACTGATTTAACAGATTAACAATAATGCATCCTTATCTGATACTACCTAACCTCTCTTTAAGTTATTTATGAATGAAGGTAATGGCTCCCTAACTCATATCTGTGTTATTTAGAGAGAATAGGAATGGATTATGTAAAAGTCCTCTCTGTGTAACAATTACCTACAAAACTCTCTATAGGTCTGAAAAAATGCTTTATCAATACGCAATACCTACACAGTAAGAATTCGAGGAGAAACGAATAAAATAACTGGATGTCACATTAGTTGTAAAGAAGGTCTACCCGATATCGATGAGGAAAGGTACTAATGTTGGTAAATGTTTCGGTTACGTATTATCAACTGTTTTAGGAGGGAAATAGCACAAATAATTTACAATCTTAACAGTTATTTTTATTATTTACCACTGTTATTTATTGTTTTTGACGTTAAATTTCATTTTCTACACAACAAGCTGTCAGGTCTTCCCTTTATTTTTCGGTTTCTTTTGAATATAATGTTTTGTCGCGTTCTGTTGAATAGATTCAATGATTTTATAACTGATCTTCGTTAATTTAGTTTATTGTTCTTTTACTTCTTTGATAAATCATCTATTCACGATTTGACTCATTGATTCAAATAGGAGACTTAGAGACATAGAAAGTCAATTACCTGAGTTCATTATTTGATTAGAACGGAACTATCACTAATATTAATAATAGCTTGATTTAATACTATAAGTTTTGTTACAGTAAGGAACTGTCAGTATTAATTGTACAATGTTACAATAAATATAGGTTAATTTATATATTTTTACAGCTGGAAAATAGTTAGCTCAACTGTCTCAGCACGCAATCGAGAGTTTCAGATATCATCATGAGAAAGCGTTGATAAAAATGATACTATTTTCAACAAAATTAAATTATTACGAATTATGTTTTAGATAATAAAATAGCTATTCAGCTGTTAATTCGTTATTTAACTCATTATTTAAATTACCAGCCCAAAAAAATTATTTTCTATAGGGTTACCAATCCATTCATATGTTAATTGGTCTTGTTAGTAGTAAGCTGACTTTTATGTGGCTCAACAACTACATTTGTTACTGTGGATGGGAAATTTTAAAAGAGTAATACTAACTGGAATCCAAATGATCAATACTGAAACACATGACTAATGACAAATATCTTCTTATCTCAACTGAAAGTTTATTGATGAAATGGAATACTTAAGTCATTCGCAAGCCACCGCATTTTAGTTAGTCTCTAAATATATTTAAATATTTGCTTATCACTGTTTATGCTATCGAGCTTCTCTAATACCCGAGTATGGATGTTTTTTATCCAACTTGTGATTTCTACCAAAATGAAATTTAAAGACATTCTTATGCGACTGAAGTTCTTCACAAATTCCAGAATATTTTCTAAGCTGACTGATAGAAAGTTAGTCGATTTTATATCGGTTATAAATGAATTTCATCATACATAAAATAATTAAATTGACCTTCTTCATTATCAAATTTTAAAAAATATTTTCAATACATAGTAATTAATACATTATTTATTTATCATGTGACTGAATGAAAATTTTCACCTTAACTATAAACATGATTTTTAATCTGAAAATGCATAATGTTTAGTAGTTAATACTTGGCGGACCCATATATATATATATATATATATATATATATATATATATATATATATATATATATATATATATATATATATATATATATAATTTCCGGCAACACATGGCGATTTGTTTAGCTGTATAAGGTCAAAATGTGGCTTGTTATATTGTCAACGTTTTTAATGCAGTTCAGTGCCAGTGATCCCATACAATAAAACAAAACTTGCATATATATATATATATATATATATATATATATATATATACCCTACAGCACTGATGTGTATGTAATAACCGCACATCACATTCGTTCACACGTTTTGTAAAGTGTAGCAACAATAAAAAATTTATTTATAATGGAAGACCACTGAAACATAGAGTTTGCTAATTAAAGTTCGAGTGCCCAGTTATACAATAATTAGAATTTATTCATGTGTGCAGATAATAAGTAAATTTATAGGAATATGTCGTTTGTCCCATACTTATACCAATAAGTGTGATTATATCTTTCCATACTTTAAGTGAAATAGTTATCTCATATGATATCATTAGGGTTAAAGAATTTATCAAACCACTTAAATTAGGATTTCGCATTAATTTTTAAGATCTTAGTTTCAATCAAATTAGTTTTTTAAAGTCTTCTCAATGTTGCAGTAAGGATTATTGAGATTTTAAAAAATATGTTATGCTCATAAGAGGTTACTTTATTTGTATCATATTAACAGAAAAGCAAACATTTACTAAAAATATGTGGTTATCTGAATCTCCTAAAATAAATGAAGTGGAGTTTATTACAACCAATAATTTTGAGATATTATAGATTGTTGATTTGAAGACTCTTTCAATATGTTTCACACTTATAGATCAAACACTACTTTACTATTCGTAAAACAACAGAGTGTTTACACTAAATATGAGCTTGTCCACAGCCTATGAAAGGATGGAAAAACGTGCCTTTTACTAGTGAATCTTTATTTTATCCACCATTAATTTACAGTTTACACATAAATATACAGTTTGAAAATGACTCTGTTATGGAAAATACAGACTGTCAGCTCCTAGATGAATTTTGTAGCTTAATAATGAACATTGATACAGCAAATAAAAAGTTGTGATTTATAAGTGTGTGTGTGTAAACTGCTGTCAAAGAGACAAATATATATAGTTACTGTCATTCATTCTTTTGGGAACATTATCCAAACATTCATTATAGTATTTACAAAAAGAAATCATTACATGAATTTCCTCTAGTTTAACGTAACAGGTTTACATGTCATTTTTATCTATTTGAATATCTGAATATTTACTAAGTAGTTTTATAACATAATTAGTCTAGTGAAATAAATACTTCTTTTTAAAAAAAACTATCTTCAAGTTTAAATTCACTTGGTATTGTTTACTTGAGTTTTTCCATTGATGTTTAAGGCTGTAATTGATTAATCTCTTATTGGCGTATGGTACTGGGTTCGAGTCCCAGAGTGAACATCAACTCTTAGATGCAGGTACATCTAGCTGACCAGTCGCAAATAGGACGAAACGCGTGTCGTAAATTCCACTGCTAGCCAATATCCATCTTTGCTTATCTTCAAGTTTATTAAACAGTTCTGATAAACACTAAATTTATTTTTATTTGCTGATAATTAACATTTGACCAAATAACCCAAACTATTCATAGTTTCTACATTTAAAAAATATCAAATTTTACTGTAACGCGGAAGTTATTAATTAGAATACTAGTGTTCGATCTAAATAACTAAGTGCTACTAAATTTTATATTTTCAGTCGCATACAGTGAATGAATTTATATGAAGCAATGAAACAATAGAATATTGTGAATCTTCTCTTTTACCAAGTCTTACATTCTGTAAAATGTATTTATTACGAATTATTTAAAAATCTTGAAGTTGTTCACTTAATGACAATAAGGTATCACGTGTTTTCATTGTTTTGCTCAACTAGATACTTATAAAAGTTCATTAGTATTCATCGAAAATGTACTGAATCAATTGACGTCAACATACTAGTCACCGATCTATTTATATGATCTAAATCAATCTTTAACTCAGAACTTCTTTCAAGGTGTAATGAAAATTACTTATCATCAATGTGTTTCAGATCAGATCTAAAATCTCACCTTACAGTTATGACAATTGACTATCCAGAATTCTTAATTGTTTTAAAGCTTCTTCATAGTACTTAATCGAATCTCAAGTCAATATTGATTTTTTAATCTGACTCTAGATTATCGCTCGTAAATTTTTGTTGGTCGCGAATCTTGTTGGATATTTCAATTAAGATTTTTTTAATATGGTGACATGAAATGTATGTTAACTAAATGTATTCAAAATAAGATATTTATCATGGTTTGTTGATTTATCAAACTCATTGAGGTACCACGGTAAAGAAAATGATACTTGATTCACAAACATCCTGAATTACGCCTCAAATCTTCGGGTTTCGATAAGAGCCTCTAAAATGTATACCATCAACCGATCCGGGGTTTTAAATAAAGTACAAAGGTTTTCACCAGTTTGTCGTTTCTTTGACTCTTATATCATTTAATTATGT